GGCGAGGCGAGAGGCGGAGGCGAGAGGCGGAGGCGAGAGGCGGAGGCGAGAGGCGGAGGCGAGAGGCGGAGGCGAGAGGCGAGGCGGGAGGCGAGAGGCGAGGCGAGAGGCGGAGGCGAGAGGCGGAGGCGAGGCGCGCGCCACGACGAGGGCATCGGTCGGCATTGTGGTGTGGTAGGCGAAGCCGCCAGACTTGTACGAGTCCATCACCTGCGGGAGGAGGCCAGCCCGTCAGCCGTCCCTCCCTCCTCCGCCCCTCGCCTCTCGAACGTACCCTCTTGCGACATGGACATGCGCCGTGGGGCTGGGGTGAGAGAGGTGTGGCGGGCGGCGGCGGCGCGCCGAGAGCCACTTGCCCAGGTTGCATGCGAGCGAGGTGCCCGGGGTGGCCCGCGTCGCCTCGACGCCGCGCTCCGACAGCATCACGATCGCAGCACACGCCGGGCCCGACCAGCCCTTTTGCGGCGCGGTGATGAGCGCGTCGATCCCGTTCTTCTTCATGTCGATCCAGACGGTGCCCGAGGCGATCGCGTCGAGCACAAAGATGCCGCCCACCTCGTGCACCGCGGCCGCGAGCCGGGCGATGTACTCGTCCGGCAGCAGGATCCCCGTCGACGTCTCGACCTGCGGCGTGAAGAAGACGGCCGGCTTCTCGGCGCGGATCCGCTCCTCCATCTCCTCGATCGGCGGCGGGGCAAACTGCTGCTTGCCCTCGACGACGTTGCAGGGCCGCGCCTGCACCACCACCGACTCGGACGGGATGTCGCCCGTGTCGAAGATGTCGGTCCATCGCCAAGAGAAGTAGCCGTTCCGCAGCACCATCGCCTTCTTGCCCGTCGCAAACTGCCGCGCGACCGCCTCCATGCCGTACGTCCCAGACCCGGGGATGATGACAGCGGTATCGGCGCCGTAGATGTCGCAGAGAAGCTCGTCCATGTCGAGCATCACCTTCTTGAACGGCTCCGACATGTGGTTGAGCGCACGGTCGGTGTAGACGACCGAAAACTCCTGCAGAGGGCTCGGCGCCTGCGGAAAGACGCCCGTCGAGCCGCCCGTCACCTTGGTGACCGCAGAGGCGCACGCCCGCATTGCCGTGTGCAGCGCGGGCCGCGTGGCCCGAGCAGCAGCGCCCGCGGGCCGCAGAGCTGACCTTAGCATGCTGAACTCGACTGAACGGCCCGGGGGCTTGCTCTTCCGCGTTGGCGGCGGCGGTGCCCGGAGCCTTCCGCCGGGAGTCTGACTTGATTTTATTTTTTTAGTGTATGTAGCTCTTACGTACATGCCTTCGATGTTATGAAACAAACGCAGGGCGGACATGGCATATCGCTCTCGGGCCCACAGACATCCCGCACACCCGCCGCCCCCCGCGCGCGCCCACCCCGGCCGGGAGAAAGGGGAGTTTTATTTAAGTTTTTTGTGATGGAGCTCATTTTAAGTGTTTTGCCGCCATTGGCGGCACCCGTTTCCTTTACCATGCCACGTCCACTGCGGGTCAGCCTCCTCCTCGGATCGTCGCGGGCGAAGCGCGTCGGTCCGAGTGTGGCCCGCCACGTCGAGCAGCGGATCGCCGCGAGAGGCCACACGGTGGACGTGTTTGATCCGCGAGAGTCGTTCGGCGGCTGCTTCATGCGGCTCATGGAGAAGGCTCACTTCCACTACAAGGAAGGAGAGGCCGTTCCGCCGGAGCTCGATGCCGCGGCGGAGGCCCTGCGCGCGGCGGACGCGTACGTAGTCTGCACGCCCGAGATGAACCACACCATCGCGCCTGCCCTCACCAACATGATGAATCACTTTGGAGCCCAGACGTATGCGTACAAGCCCTCCGGCATCTGCACCTACTCCGCCGGCATGTGGGGCGGAGCCCGCTGTGGCGTCGCCCTGCGCGCCTATCTCTCCGAGCTGGGCTGCCTGCCCGTGAGCGCAACGATGCAGCTGACCGGCGCGTGGAAGCCGGGCACGTTTGGCGAGGATGGCCTGCTAGCGGAGGACGCAATGGGGTTCAAGCTCTGCGAACGAATGCTCGATCAGCTCGAGTGGCACGCCCACTCCATGAGAAATCACAGAGAGCTGATGCGATGACCGAGGCCTGTCCGCATGGCGCCGGTCGCGGGTCGAGAGCCGACCGCCGACAGGGCGACACCCCCTGTCCCACACTGTCACGCGCTGTAACCTGTCAACTCACACTAGCGAGAAATATGGCTTCAGAGCTGAGAGGCGGCCGCCCCTGGTGTGGCTGTATCGATTCTATACACTCGAACAGCTGTGCTTTCGTTTATTACGTTTGAGTAATGGACATCTCTACCCAAGGCCGAGCGTTTTTGATCTCTGGATCTCTGTGGGGGGGGCGGCCGAGCCGCTTCGGGGTGGCGGGCGGGCGGGCGTTTTGAAAAACAGAAAACAGAAAACAAGAGGGGGCCCGGGGGCCCGGGACCCCACTGGGAGTAGAAAATACGCCCAAGGGGGCCCAAGGAGGCGGCGCGGGGAAGCAGCATCAGGTGAGAGCAGGAAGGATGGCGCTTAGGGTCGGCTTTGAACAAGGGTTTCCAGGTTTTAGATCAGTATTGGTGTCGGCACACATCCCCACATTGAGGTCAGCGGCGCGCAGTGCCTCTCTCGCAGGCTGATTTTGGCTGTTTTCGAGCTTGTTTTTGTTTTCAGTCTAGGGGGCCCGACCCCCTCAGAGGCGGCGGGCGGGCGCCCACAGATCCAGAGATCAAAAACGCTCGGCCCAAGACAAGTATATAGATCGTTGGGGGGTAGAGATAGTTAGATTAAGACTGGTGACCGTGGAGATCGGCTAGCGGATCTCTCACACGGACACGCCCAAGTCTCGCCAGTAGATCCCTCCTGTCCGGTTCCCCATTCAAGACTAAAGATCGAAGATTGAGAGTGAGATTGTGGATTGCAGAATCGCTGAGCAGCAACACGGGCCAAAATGTGGAGATAGGGAGATGGAGAATGCAGATTGTAGATCCTAGCGCCCAGCCATCCGCCCCAGATGTGAGATCGAAGATTGAAAATGGAGGTCGTAGATTGCTGCCGGCGGCGACACTGACCATCTCTCGTCTCCTGAGAGATGGTCAGTGTGAATGAATCCATAGCGCATCTCCTTGAAGGTTTGAGCCCCCCTCCTCCCCCGGGCCCCCGAATCGAGATTGGAGATTGGAGATTGGAGATGGAGATCGGAGATCTGACTGAATCCGGCCTAAGATGACGACGTTGGAGATTGGAGATTGAAGATGGAGATCGGAGATCTGACTGGATCCCCGGCCTAAGATGACGACGCTGTGGATTGGAGAGTATTGGAGATGGGGAGATCGGAGCTCCCCCACCCCCTAGTGGTGTGTGATAGATGTTTTTTAAAAAGGGTTACTGTGGTCTGTGCGCGGACGGCCCGGGGGGAGCCTGCGGCGCCATTTTAATCTGCGCTCCTCTTTATGGCCTGCGGCGCCTGGCTTGAGCTTGGAAGTGTGAACGAGTCCGCCAGGGCGGTCTGCAAACGGAGCGCGCTGCGCGCGCGGTCTACGGCGAACTTGTTTGCCGAGTTGGCATAGTCGATCTTTTTTCCGTCCTCAGTCCATTCGTATACGATCCTTTGTCATTAGTTGTTTGTGCTGGTATTCCGCACATATCTGGTTGT